CGCAAATTTAAAAAAGTGCTCATTTTTGTTTTCTTGAGGCTGCTTTTTGGATCAAACATGACCTCAGAGCGTTTGTCTTCTTCCCAGACCCTTGTCAAGGGCTGCCAGGGTGTTATGATGAACCCCCCGGTGGATCCACAGCGCTTGGCAGAGATCAAGTCTCAAATTGAGGAGTGGTGGGGTTATAACTAATATACTGTATGATCTCATGGCATGTGGTTCAACCATTATATGAGTTTCCAACTTGGTACCGACTCAGGAGCGAAGGCAACGCATTGAACGATTGCAGAAACTGATGACTTCAAAAGCACCTCCTCCACCGCCGCCAGCAGGCATGGACATACATATAAAGAAATATATATATATATAATGCATAATGTGGGAACTCCTTCCCTTTTGCTTTTATGCTGCTCTTCAGGTGTACCGTCGTTTGCTGCTGGTGATGGTGTGGGTTATGTGGCTGGAAATGAGATCGTACCACTGTCGACCTTGCCACCAGGGGCTGTTTGCATGCAAAGGTTGGACAGCCAGAGTTCGAATGGCAGTGGCAGTGCAACCTTACGCTATGACAGCTATTGGAGGGTTCAAGATCGAGCAGACAAAAAGCGTGGCACACATGTGGTGGAGAGGGCAAGTGAGGTGGCTGTAGCACAGGGGTCTGCAGGTGAAACAGGAATGAGGACAGAAACACCTGTAGAGGTGATTGCTGAGGCTACTAAACCTGCAGAAGAACAAGCAATGGATGCCTTGCCAAGTGAACATGTTACACCCGCACAAGAACAAGCTGAAGTTGCGGTGGAAGGGAAAGGCAAAGGGGAACACAAAACAAGTACAAGGGAGAGTACTGAGCAGGTTTCCCAGGAGGCAGGTATTGCAACACAGGGAGAGGCCATTGCTGTACCAGAAAGGGCAGCAAGCAAGGTAGAGAGCAATGAAAAGGAAGGGGATGAGGAGGGCAATGAGGTGGAGGATGGTGATGTGAAGGGGGATGGTGATGTGAAGGAGGATGGTGATGTGAAGGAGGATGGTGATGTGAAGGAGGATGGTGATCCCTCCACTAAAACCAAAGGTGTGAAGTCCAGCAAGTTTGACAAGTACTACTACCGGCCCCTAGGCATTCAACAATTAAGATGTTGTGCAACATATGTAAGACTAGTTTTGCTCATTCAGACTTTGTAAGGTTTGGGGTGTTGGCTCAGGCTGCGTCGCTATTGCGTAGGGGATGGCAAGAAGAAGGTTACAGCGTCCAAAGAGGCAATCTCCTTGTTTGAGAATTCTGAATATCACTCGCTCAAGGATCGTATATATAGCTAGCTTTGTTTGAAGTTGGAAGACAACAATTTGTTGTTCATATGCAGTCAGCCAACTGTGGGAAACTTCTTCTGACAACTGGAGTATCTTGCATGTTGAGGAACATCAAGGCCGACAAGACTGAAGGGACCGCTCCTGGCAGTAAGGCTTCGGGTAAGGCCAAGGCCAAGGCAGCTGCAGCAAAGCTGCCTGCCAAGCGCAAGGAGCCAGAAGGGGAAGAGGAGGCTAAGCCGGCCACCCCTCAAAAGAAAGGTCGTGAGGCTAAGGCCAAACCCAAAACTACCAAAAAGGCCAAAAAGGTCAAGTGATTGCAATTTGACGCTCCCGCATTGCCGACTTAGCTTTTGTTTGGTGCTCAGCTAAAGTTGCAGCTAAAGATATATCTAAGCAATTGATTGTGTTTTAGGCCATGAATGATTCTTTGGCATTTGGCGGGGCTTGTTTAGAGTTTGACAGCGTTTTGCCAAGAGTGTGATAACACTCGCTGAAGCTGACTTGGGGTAGAAGAAGAGTTAGCTTTTGCAGTTGCACTGCCTTCCTTCCCAGCCATGCAGTTCCTACTTCTTCAAGTTCTCAGAAACAATTTGTAGAAGAGACACTGCAACACTGCGCAGGTGTGGCCTTCTCTACTGAATTTGAGCAGCAGGATGCACCGTCTTCTGCAGGATCATCTGATGACCTTGTCGGCACGTTTCTTCAAGAGATTGAAGAAGGGGCCCCCTAGCTAAGACCTGCTAACATGTTCAGTGTGCATTCATTATTTCCCATGCAATGTAAAGAATTACGTGCTTGTTTCTTTCTTTAATCCGAGGCCATGCCGGCAAAAAGAATGGTGCGGTTGGCCGACCGCACATCTAAAAGGATGAAAGCACTAGGCACTTTACTTCATATGCTTTGTCAGGTTTCTGTAAGTACACATGTTAAAGGTTTTGGTTTCTTAGCCCACACCATGGAGGTATCTCTGATCCCGAACTTGACCGTTTGGCCCGTTACCGTCAATCTCGGACAGCGAGGAAGCAGGGTAGCAATGCAGCCAGAGATCTTCACAGGTGGATCCATCGCAACCGGAAGGCTTTTGGGGTGACTATATCATCAGCTACGATCAAAATGCAAGTCCGCAAAAGGACACAAACAGGCATCGTACGACTTGTCCGCTGTTGGAACCCTCATGCCATCATCCGCTTCTCTGATTGGTTTGCAAAAATCATGGAAACTCACCCAAGTTTCTTCCTTGGTGGCTATGACCTACATACCCAATGCAAAAGCTATGAGGACATGTTTAGCTATTTTTGGGACAACTTTGAGGGAGTACAGGCTACACATCCTGTATATATGGAGAAAACACGGGAAGAAAGAGCTCGATGTGTCCCGATTGCACTTCATGGAGATGAAGGCAGAGGCCTGAACAAAGTGCCGGTCCTCATCGTGAGTTTCCAGGTAGTAATCCCAAGCAGCGGTGCAGATCAACTTGCAGGATCCCAGAATCTTAGCAACATTGGGTATGCTCTTGAGTTATTTAAAACTAGATATTGCCATTCAAGCTTTCTACAGGGAACCCTGTGGTGCGGACAACAACGGGTGACCAAGGCATTCCTTTACGACCAGGCTTTTGTACACAGTTGTCCCAAGCACTTGGTACGCGGACGATGCCACCATCGATGGTCTTCTCGAAGTGTTGTCGTTGGACCTCGCAGCTGTGTTTCATGAAGGAAGTCCAGTGCAAGCTTCTTGTCACCGAAAGGTTGGAAGTGTACGTGTCATTCCTATAGGGTCACAACTTTTGCAGTAAGGTTGGTGATACCAAAAAGAAGTTCTACCCGGTGTTCGTTGGCATTAAGGGCGACTGGCCCTGGCTCAGAAAGAGCTGTCATCTCAACACTGGCTTCTCCAGTGCTCGTAAATGCCACATGTGCCCAGGTGTCGAAGCTTGCACGCAATTGATTGCATCCCTTAAGTGCTTCCCTGTTTGAACCCTGTAGAAACCGCCGAGGAGTGGTGGGACCTGACGGCAAAAGGCCAGGCGCGCAGTTTTGAAGGGGAAGTTCCGTCCCCTTTCAAGAGAACACCGACCCCGTTGGAAGCTATCCCTGGATGGTCAGTTGGATCTATAAAAACTGACTTCCTTCACGCATTCAATCTGGGTTTTGGTGGGGACATGGCGGCTTCAAGCATTTTGCTTTTGGTTCGCATGAAGCTGATCTTCATAGGGAGAAGTGCCCCAAAGCGATTTGAGAGTGCCTACGAGAGCTTCTATACATGGTGCGTTGCAAACAAGAAGACTACATCAATAAAGTGCTTCAACGCACAGAAGTTCAAGGTCACACAGACTCCTGCTATATGTGGAGACAACTGCAATTTTTTCTTGCTGTTTTGCTGAAAATATATATAGGAAAAGGGCGGGGTTGGTGTAGTCTTCAAGCTGCTCTCCTAATTTGGACAAGTAGCCAAGGACCAGCAAGTATCCCAAAGGTGCTGGTAAAGCTTTTGACACAACTTTGCTGTGCAAGTGGCTTTTGGAAGAACTTCAGCAGTTGGACCTGGAGACCATGGTGCTTTTCAATTACCTAGCAGTGTGTGTGTGTGTGCTTTTCCCCTGTTGCTGCAAGTATGTCATGGGCCCTTGACTGGGGGACCTCAGCCTGCTCTCCAAAACCAAAGGTCCTGAAGCCTGATGACCGTGCCCTTTTGGAGTTGCTCCGCTGGAGTTTCTATGTGGCCAACAACTTTTTCCACATCGTTTATGGGCAGGGCGTTTGGATGTCACGCGGGACAGCGCAAAATGCTGTTGACCTTGGGTTTTCTGTTGGGGACACTTGGGTCACACATTAACAACTTTGGAGTTAGGGCCCGGTAATTGCATTCCAAACCTGGAAATCCTAGGAAGCTTACAGTGGGCTAGCGCGTCTTTGCGCCCAAAGAAAGTGGCGATACTTCCGAATCCGCCCCAAAGAAACTTGGCTTTGTTGACCATGTCTTAAGTTGATGGCAAACCTCCCAACTGCACATGCCTGAGGTACACATGTTTGTACACCTAGTGCCACTTGTCTAATCATATTTGGGGATTCCACTTGACTACTTCTCCACAGAATGCCACCTAGGCAGTCAATGAAAGATGAGCTGACACAGGGGAGTGAAAAGATCAGCAACCCAGTCATGTGGGCTTGCTGGTCAGACGAGGACTTTGTAGGTAGGATTGCGCGACTGAGCCGCCGTGTGGCGGCAAACAGGTTGGTGGTCCTAAGAGTCATGACCCGATCTCTCATGCAATATGCCCGCCATTTTGGAAAAGTGTGAAACCAGCCTGGTCCCAGTGTCTCTGAGTCTCCCGGCTGAGTCCACGTTGATGAAGATGTGGAAGTGAGTGTGCGTGGAAAACAGCGCGGGCACTTTTTGGAGAGTCGAGCGTTTTCAGCGTTGGGGGTGTTTGAAGAGCTCTCACGAGCAAAAAAGAAAACGCACAAAAAATAATGTATCAATGGAAGATCTAGGTTGTTTAATGTCGTGTGAACGAGGAAGAGTTCGTTTACACGGCCAAATTTGTTGTTATCATTCGCTTTCAATGATACAATGACCAGGAACACCATGACGTTTTTGCTCCATATGTTTCACTCAGGTATCGGGTTTTGGATGGTTTTGGGTTCAGTTTTGCTTTGGATTTGCTTTTTTGCCAGAGAACAGGCGATCGTCAGGACATGCCTCCAGCAACCGAGAAACCCCACCTGCGGAGGCGGGATTGGCGATGAATGTGGGGCGGCAGTGGAAGCGCATGTCATGACCCTCGCCGGGAGCATTCACTTCTTGTTGCTTCACAGAAGTTTCCCAACGATGGATCCATCACTCCACTCGGTTCCAAGATCCATCACTCCACTCACCACTCATTTTCTCCGACTCACACACCGAATTCCGTTGACCGTGGAGACTCCGGTGGTTCGAAGAAGACTCAGATCTGTTGCAGAGGAACTTGGGTTTAGGAAACAGTCCCAATGTAACAAATGAGGAGTTTCGGACATTTATAAGGAAGACATCAATGATTGAAATGGGTCTTTGACTGTTGAGAAATTACCACCATTGTCCAGAACAGGTGGGACATATTTGGGTGGCAACAAGTTAAGTGAAGTCGCCGTTACACATGTCATCCACAACCCTGCCCTTCTGCGGTTTGCCTCCTGAAACTGAACAAGACAAGGGAGATCCTATGTTAGTTTTCAGCAGGTTGACCAGTCGGAATGCTTCTATGTTGTGTCCAAATGCTGACAAAAAAGTGATCTGAATTCAAAACATCCGAGTGAGTAGTATTTGCTTTATTATAAGTACAGGACTGGCTATTTGTTCCACGTAGACGACCTTACGCCTTACACATGTTAAGACGTCGACTAGTTCGCTTTACATTTTTTGCCGCTTTCGTGCATGTCTTCGGGTTTTCCTGATTTTCTCCCGTAGATGGCTCTCTGCCACTCAGTGAGGCTCCTCCAGTGCAAGTTGAGCCCAGCTTCGGGGCTCCTTGGACGCGACCAATTCCGCTCGGGCGACTTTTTCCAAACCCCAAGGAGTGGATCACGACAGACCACTGAAATGATGTCATGCCGGGCTTCAAAACCAGGCTCACCTGTGAATTTTGCTGAGAGCCCGACGGAAAACAGCTCGGCTCCAGTTTGGTGGCTAACCCCTGAAAACTCCAGCCTTGGTAATCTTGGTGCAGCCATTCTCCCTGGAACACCTGCCGTCCAATCTAGATCAATGCCCTTCATTTCTGCTTCTGCTTCTACCCGTCCTCCACCTTGACCGAGCCTTGAGGACTGAGCCGTGCGTCCGACCGCTCCGTGCGTCCGACTGGTTGCGCGGCCAAGGCCAAGGCCACTGGAGCGCTGAAGGTGGCCCGAGAGGCGCTCATCCAGGCGCAACGCGTCGTGGACCACGCAGGCGCGGTCCCGTGGGGGTCCGTGGAGGGTTGAGTCGAGGTGAGCGTTGAAAGCGGGCGGATTCTGGAGGGTAGGGAACAGAAAACAAGAGAGAGTTCTGTGTGATTTTCCTGGTGAGTTATGTGTCATGGCCTGCTGATTCTTCTGGTCAATTTCTGTGAATCTTTCCTGGAACACCTCCCCGCAGTCTTGCCTGCAAACGGGCTGCGATGCGAAACCTACCAACACCAGTAGTCGGAGTCCGAGCAAACAGACCGAAAGGGTCCCAAAAGTGAAAGACAGGGTGTTTTGATCCGCATGTCCCAACCCAGGGATCCGGAGGCCCCACTGGTGAGCTTAGACAAAAGAACACATGTCCACTCTTCCACCATGTTTTCGATTTGACAACTGGATGTTGGGCCCAAAAAGTGCCTGTCCTGCCATTTATAACCGGTGCTGATTGCAGTGATGGCTTCAAAAAGCAAAAGCAACGGCCGAAGCCCTTCGTCCAACGCTTCGGCCTAAGCCCTTCGGCCTTGCCTTCGACACGCCCAGGTGCGAGCGGCGCCACCGCGCCGGCGAGCTCGCCGGACGCGCCGTCGCCGGAGGCGACGGTGACCTGCGAGGCGGATTGTAGTGGCTTGGAAGAGATGAGATGGACGGGACGAGGTTTCAACTCATGGGCCCTGATCACATATAACGTCTATATACAATATACTATATTTAACATCATACTTGGGCAAACATATGGCAAATTCTTGTAGTGATGGGATGAGATTGCTTCGGCGATTTGATGAGATTGTATATGAGTCTCAATCGGGTGAGCCTCCCTCCTTTTCAAAAAAGACGACCAATCCGACGACATCCGATCCAGACCCAGATGTGTTTTTTGCTGATCTTTGGAATTCATTCACTGACTTGGATATATGAGATAGACGAGGGTTTGAATGTCTAGCTTCATCCAGATCCTTTCAGCAACACTCACCCTGGAATATCTTTTTTCCAGATGTACCGGAAGTGTTTTTCGTCCGACCGAGCTTGATGGTCTTGCCCCGATGGCAAAGCTATTTCATTTTCATAGATGGATTCTGATTAGAGCTCGATTAATTACACACCTAGTATTGAAAACGACGTAGGACGTCCTCTGTCGTCAGAGTCTTTTTCTCCCCCCCAATTCGAAGTCCAGTCAGTGGGCTGTGCCCCGGTTTCCTCAAAAAGAAGTCTCTCCGTGCTTTCCCCGAAAAAACCCAGGTGGTCATGGCACCTGTGAGGAAACGGGCTGCGTCTGCGGGGATGAATGGACCGGCAGCATCTGCGACATCCCACGCTGTGAGCAGAACTGCAACCAACGTGCCTCGGAGAGGTCGATTTGGTCCGAGGGAACCAGGGGCTCGGTCACCGAATGGCTACCAGAACTGAGATGGCTTTCAGAAGGGTTCGGTGAACTTGGGATGAACGGAGAAGAAAAGCAACACACATCTGTAAGATCGACTAGCAATCAGATTGCTCTATTCTTGAACTCCAGGACATTTCTTTGATGTACTGCAGGACCCTTGCAGCAGATGCTTCTTCAGAAGCTTTGGCCACCTTTCAATCACAAATCAAATGGCTCATATACCTTGGTAGAACTGGTGGGCTTTGGTAGAACCATTTCCTCCTTTGCCGCTGGGTGGGCTTGCTCAGGTGGCATGTGCATCCATGGGCAGTGCATCTGTCAGGAAGGTTGGCACGGCTCAGCCTGCCATATCAAGCGATGCCCCAACGATTGCTCGGGTGCTGGCTACTGCTTCAATGGCCCCTGCGATGCAGAGATATGGTGCTTTTGAACTGAAGTCCTTTTCTTTGCGCTTGTGCTACCTGTGATATTCGAAATCACCGAAGCATGTTCTACCATTTTCTCATCAAAGTTGTTTTCCCATATGTATCCATATGTCAATTCACCTCAATTTGCTGCTTGAGCACTGTGCAGTCGCTGACCCTTCCACCGCCCCGCTGGTCTTTTCACGTCTTTCAGGCGCCTGCCGCTGCAGTGCCGGCTTCGGCGGGCCCAACTGTACCGAGGCAAGGCCCGGGTTGGACGCGGGTGAAACGGTGGGGTGAAACGCATGGGACGGCCCTGCCGTGAAACCATGACTTGGGATGACTTTCGGAGAAACCATGACCTCTAGGAACCACTGGTTTCAGTCTTTGGAACCGCTGAGCGGCTGGTTGCCAGCTACAGTGGTAACTGGATGCTACAGTGGCCCAACAAGTGGCTCAGGACCTGTAGGTCGCCCTCCCCCAACAAAGTATTGTCCACGGTCCACGACAGTGGGTGGAATTCGCACTGTCCACGTGTTCGAGGTGCTTTCGGTGCATGGCTCAGTGGTGGTGAAGCTGAAGATCTCACGTCCCACGCAGCCGCGGCCGGGCATGGACGGCTTTGAGGACGCGAGATTGGCTGAGTTGAGTTCCAAATCGGGGCTGTTTGGAGCGAGGGTTGAAGAGAGGCGGGAAGAGGCGCCCCGTGGTGGTGGCTTCTGGTTGGTTTGGACGGTTTGGATCGTCTTTACGATGCGTTTCTTTTTCCGGTTGCTTGTTCTCTTGAAAGATCATTCGAGGATACCAGTTGATTGGACCCGCCTTGTGGGCTTTTTGCACCAGGAAACGTCCAGCCTCCACCAACTGGCAGATCAGAAGTGCCCAGAGAATTGCAATCAGCGAGGTGTTTGTAGCCCTGCTGGAAAATGCCCCTTGGCAATTGGCAGGTGAAGATGGAGTGCTTTTGGGAGGCTTTTTTTGTGCTTGCCCTAGCAATGGCAATGGTACGGGTGAAGAGTGGATGTTCTTAGGCTTCTATATTTTCCAACGAATGTAAGCAACTCAAGGTTCGTCGGATTCACATCTCCGAAAGCGGCCATTCCATGGGGGTGTCTCCTGAGGGAGCATGGAAGAAGCACACTTCCCAGACTTCCCACCACCGACAGCTATGGCAGAAAACATCTCAAGACTCTTGTTGGGCGGTATTTTTGGTTCTATAACGTGTGGGCCATCCAGACATAGCCAGCATATATCCACCCATCCACTACAAATACCAGCAGACAAAGTGAAGATCCCTTGCACCATTTTTCTCCCAAGCCCTCTCCTTCCCACCCACCCGACCCACAAAACCCATAAGCTCCAAAGACCTGACATCATGACATCCGAGGTCGTTGTGATGCCGGCTATAGCGGCCCCGCCTGCGAAGCCTTTTGCCCCAACGCCTGCAGTGGTCAAGGCCGTTGCATCGAGGGCGGCTGCCTTTGCTTCGCCGGCTTTAGCGGCAGCGATTGCTCGGTGCAGAGCTGTTGCAATGGCCACGAGAGCTGCGAGGTGCGTGGTCCGGTTGGCCACCGGACGATCTTCGATGTGAAACCTCCGAAATGGGCCTTCTCTTTGACCAGACCTGGTTTGGCGGAGCCAAACAAGCAAGTGGTGGTGAGAACCGAGAACACACACTTTTTGGGATCTTTTTGGTCCACAAATCATACGAATCATATCATATTATCATATCCTTATCCTCTAAGCCGGTGTTTCTTTTGAGCAGCGACCGAACGGCCCCGTGCCACGCGCCTGACCGAACCGAACCCGAAAATACGGGTTGGTCGTCCGTGTTGGGTCCGCACGATGCGGGTATCGGACGTGGCTGGGAGATCTGCATTGGGGACCTCAACATCTGAGGGGTTTTGGACCTTACGACTCTCCAATGTTCATCCACCATGTTCATCCACCATTTTCACCCATTTTTCCCCCAAATTCCCAAGCATGTTCCAGAATTGGATGTGTGACCCGAATTGGATTCCGTTTTCCAAGCCAACCCAACCTCGACCGATCCTCGAAAAATCCGAGACACGTCCAGGTGCCCGGTACCTGCCTTTGCGATGCCGGCTGGGGCGGTCCTGCCGCTTGGCCTGTCTGTGGCGGTTTTGGATGGTTTTGGGCATCGTCGGTTCAGTGTCTCCACCGCTGAATCGAAGAGAAGTCTCGTTCGGGAACCAAGGGTGGATCCCATGTGGATCCGGACATTCCTTTTCGAATGGGGCAATGTTTTGTCCGAGTCGTCGCTTTACTAGGCGCCAGTCAGTGATGTGGAAGGAGAAGTTGCTGGGTGTTTGCAATGATCTGATTCCCCCCGGACTGAACCTCCACCAGGGACCCTGCAGGTGTTTCATTTTTTACGACTTTGGCGGAACTTGACCGACGTCCGTGGCTGGATGGTACCCTATGGCTTGGAGCCATGGCATGCCATGGCCGAATGACATGAAGCATCCGTTTAACAGGTCAGCAACTGCCTCGCTGTTCAACATCCCAAGACCCTGGTGGAAGCCATTTGCACTGCCTAAACGGTGGTCTTGATTGCAGTGCCGTTCCGGTTCTCATGGGATGCGTTTCAGCTGAAGAAGCATTGGGTTGCCATGACCTGACAATAACCGGATCCACTGCGGCATGTTGATGCCCCAATGAAACAATATCAGGTGGAGGAAACCAATGTTTTAGATACTGTACCACCACCGTTGATCAGTTTTACGCATGTCTTTTTTGACACACACACACACACCTTGTCACCACACGTTGCCATCCGACAGAACCCTCTGACCCCTGCGGCCGGGCACAACCCTCCGAGACGCGTTTCCGCCCTTTGCCGTCCAAGGAATGCTCCGTGGAGTTGCTTTGCAAGGATCCCACCTGCTCCAACCATGGCACTTGCCTTAAAGGCAAGTGCCACTGTGAGGACAGGTGATCCGTGGTTGAGCCAATGTGCCTTCCGAAGAGTCGATCAAATTGGAACTTGGAGAGCTCCGACAATTCCCTCAAAGGAGTGATGAGGCACAAACCTGGCCCGCAAAGCTCCAAGAAGCAAGACAATCTTACATTGAGGTTCAATGTGATTAGATCCCTTCTGGATGTAGGAACCAGTGATGATTTGGCTAAACCATGGTTTTGGACATCTTTGGACATAACACTTTACAGTGTTGCCACATCCTTCCACAAACCCATCCAAACATATTCCCATCCCCTCACACATCACTTCATCCTTCCGCACTCCCCTCGTCCTCTCCATCTCCTCACTCGTCCGAGTCCGGTGCCTTTCCTTCGAATCGCAGGAGGGCTGGGGCTCGGAGAGCTGTGAGACGCCACTGGGCACCTGCGAGCCGAAATGCCAACATGGGCTCTGCAATGCCACTACCAGCAGTTGTGCCTGTGAGGAGGGGTACACCGGTCCCTCGGTGGAGTGAGTGAGTGAAACGCCACGAAGAACAGTCCGTTCGGAAGCATTCTTTTGACGGCCAGACCGCACGTGGACGGAGGTCGTTTTGGAGGTCGTCCACTTGAGTCGGGGGAGAAACAAGACGATGTCGTCCACTTGCGCCAAAGGATTTAGTTGTGAGAATGGATCGTGAAGCAATCTTCCCGCGGTCATTGCTATTGTCTATGATCAGTCGAAAGAAGTTGAGAACATTGAGTCTCATCTTGCGCAACAGGGTGTAATAACGCCCCTCAATGACCCTTCCACATGGCTTGAGTTATATATTTCTTTGTGTTCCCTGAATTTCGCCATATGGCAAATTCCCTATAGGATCCTATAGGCTAGATACATAGCGGTCTCCAGTGAGAGCACGTCCTGCGGTTGACAGTGCTTCCTGCTTGGTTCGCCCACCATCGAATGCCTCAGGTGGTGATTGCTCAGTGAAGGTGGCCACATGCCCGAAGAATTGCAACTTCCATGGAAGCTTGGTAATGAAAAGCAGCAAAACCTCCATACCCGGCGGATTCGTCGGAAGGATGTAGCTTGGGAGTAGTTTTTGTGGGCAGAAGCTGGTGAAGTTGTATAGTAATCCTGGGACTCCGAAAGCACAGTCGCTACTAGATAAACCACAAAAACAACATGTCTCTATCTCTGCTCCTCTCGTGGTCTGGTCCTTTTTGACACCTGTCCCTTTATTTGTTTGATATTTAGTTAGAGCTTCAGAGCACCACTCTGTGGATTTGGTGTGTGTCATATATACAGATACATCACCACCGCTACCTCTTAGGCCTTTGCTTGAACGGCGAGTGCATGTGCGGCGCCGGTTGGTCGGGCCGCGACTGCTCGGTGCGCTACTTCTCGCCGGGCGGGGTGGCCACACCCGATGCAGGCGCGGCGCTTTCTGGCCACCGCTCATTTGCTCGGCCAGCCATAGGGAGTCACACTTGGAACGCCATTTCGGCGGGATGCCATCCAAGTGTGATTCCCCATTTTTGGGTACTAGAACATTTTTTCGGTGGGTTCCCGAGTGGGACACGAGTTTCTGAATGTTGGTGTCTTCTTCTGAATGTTGGCGTCGGCTGCTTTGGTCCGACTTTCGGGTGCAAACGAGGGTTCAAAGGATATGGTTTCATGAGTTAGATCTATAGTCTACCTGGTTCAAAGTGACCTAACTTGATCACCTGGTTGGTTCGGTCACGAACAAGCCTCCCTGTTGGGTCACGAAAAGGAACCTTCAAAAGGTCACGTACTGAAGAAGCTGGTATAGTGGGTGTCATTCTCTCAGCCACCGACAAAACTGTCCAGTTCTGCGGAGGTTCCACCACGTACACCGGGACAACACAGTGACTGGGACCCAGTGACTTTTTCTTCGATTCTCTATACAACATGGTACATCATCATCCCGACTGGCTGGGCTGAGAACACGCCGGGTCCCGGGTCACTCGTCCACGACGTTTTCAGGTGAAGTAGAGGAGACCCCCTTCGGCGTCTCCAACGGCTTGCGCGCCGACCGCGCGCTGGATGCGCAGCTGGGGCCGGAGCCCAGCATTGGGCTGGACTTTCAGCCGGCGACCACGTGGCATAGCGAAATCGACTGTACCGATGTAAGGATTGTAAGGGAGGCGTCAATTTGTGTAATTCATTCATTCAGGGTTAGTGACGTCAATTTGACTGGAGTCAATACGGACAGATCCTTTGACCTACTGGTTGGATGTGGATCTATCCATTTACCAAGGTGTTTCTTCCATTTTTCGGTGTGTGATTGACACAATGCGTTGCCAGACATGGTTCACTTACAAGGGGTAGAACTCCCGCTCGTTTGGGCAGCCTGGCGGTTGCCGCGGGCCGCGGACTTCCAGGAGACATGAAGCAGAATCAACACCAGTTTGGGTGCCCAAAAGATATTCCCAAAAGAGAGTACTCACGGAGACTCTTGGCTTATTTCATTGAAAAGTCTATGCCATACTCTTGGACGCCCAGAGGCTCTTGGTGAGTATGGTCCAGCAGACCCTTACTCCTGGATAACTTAGTAGCGTAAGCCATACCAGCTCAAATCCGATACTCCACTTCACCAACTTCCCATGTACACAGTCCGTCCTGGAGCCAGGTTTCGGACGGACTTGGACCGGTTTCGGCTGGGTTTGGTCCGGACGCACTGGTGCACACATGACAGTTTGAGTCTGATCATGGTGCCTTGGTGCAAGTGACGGTGATCACCCGGTGATACCAGTGCACCATGGCCGTGGGTCATGGCCACCTCTCAAGAGGAAGAATCGAATAGACGGCCGACGGCCTGGGTCCCAGTTCAGTCAACCAAACTTGCAGGGTGACGTTTGGGGCTCCAGGTTTCGCCTCACCAGGCTTTGCTTGGTGCTTTTGGATCAATTCGGATGAATCACTTTCATCCCGATGAAATAATCCTTGGAATGGCCCCGAAAGGAAGACATTTCTTTCTTTTTTTTCCCATTCATGATTGTTGGAAGGAGGGTAGATCAACTTTGGCTTAAACAGATTGTCCTTCTTGCTCTTTCCCCCCGTGCAAGAAGGCAAGAAAGCCCCTAACAAGTACAGGTGTCTTCAGTGGAAACTCCGATGGAATCTGAGCGCAGACCCTGGAAGACTTATATATGTATATAGAGATTTATTCTATATGCACATGCTCCACAAGAAAACCTCACAAACGATTTTCTCACGGACGAGTTTTGAATTGTTCTTCAAAACCATGTTCCCAGAGTCCAATCCTAAGCCAACTTCGTTGCCCACTTACTAAGCCAACACCAACACTCACCACGCGCACCACGGTGTGTCAGATTCTCCGGTCCCATGGGGAACAGCGCCGTCTCCACTCACTGAGACCAGTTCGCCGTCTGAGGTCTCTCCCAGCCTGGGGGGCGGCCGCTATTCCAACCCCGCTGGCGCCACAGGCGGGGTTGTAGGATGTACCGGGAAACTGGAAACCCAGTCCCAACCAGAACCAGAAACAGTTCGTTCCAACATAGCCTGATTTTTGTATTTGGTTTTTCTGAGATCCTTAACATGACCTAACAAGTGGTTGTTTTGTTGAATTGTACATGAGCAGTTGGTTCCAAAGACTCAAACACCCGTTTCCACGACCAAACAAGTGCGAGCCCGCTCAGTTTGAAGATTCCCAAGCCGTGCACGAAAGCATGAACCAATGGGCTGTAAACCTGGTGCAGGATGTTGTGCTTGAACATGTTTGGGAGGGCTTCCACCTTCAGCAACTCCTGGATGTCTGTGAGTGTTTCCTTTGTTCGTATGTTTTGCAAAGTGAACCTGGAAATCTCCCATACACAGCTCGCGCAGTGCTAGAGGTCCATGAACCATAAACACCTCTGAAAGTTTTGGCTGTTGTATCCCTACAGGTCAGTTGGACTTCATTTTACTTGAGATCATATACAAACACATTACTCAATGAGGTACAAAACCAGGTTCAACTGGGTATGTCGAACCTATTCCCCAGTCTGGTCCGACCCGGAAGCCGCACGTCATGTGATCTGTGACCTGGGAGAACCCTGAGTGACCTCCATTTTTTCGACCACCCGAGCCGAGCCGAGCCCCCCATTTCCATGGCCTTTTTCCATGCCTCGTTCCCGATCCAAGAAGTTGGGTTTATAGTCCTATACCTCTTCGACGAGGAGCCGCAGGTTGCCGGGCAGAGCTCGGAGTCCCACCCGCTTCGCCGCGGTTCGCGGCAGGCGCCGAGCTTGCAACGCCTGGCCGTGAGCTTGGCGTCCAAGGGAAGGCGCGTGTGGTGGGTGTGGGAACAGGATCAGAGGATTGGAGGGTTTGAGGACATTTCCCTGTCCTAGAATTGGTTTTAGGGAACAATGAGTAGGATATTTATAAATTCATGGGGGCAATATATATATATATATTAGATTGGGACACCCATGACAAGCATCTATTAATAGTCGGACACCAGTAGCTTTTGTGGTCCTTCCTCCTCCTCGTTCCGTCAAGGATTTGTGGCCCGGAGGGCCGGTGCTCGGACCGGGGCACCTGCGACACCAGCACGGGGCGATGCATGTGCCAGGCTGGCGAACCGGTGAAGCGACGGGAGTGGAGTGGAGAGGATGGGAGGAAATGCTGGTATACTCGGTCCATCGAAGAGTGATTTCATGCCCAATCATTGGGCCCTCAACTGTGGGGATGTTCTTGGAACCCATCACATTTACCCTCTAGTTGAAACAGATTGATGTAATGCTACTGATCTCTGCTCGCATTTTGTTGGATCACGCAGAATCGAAGCAAGCCGCTTCAGTCGACTTGCGCCGAACTCGTGCGGCCGCACTGCACTAGCCAGCTGTGGTAGCCAGCTGTGGTCTATCTGCATGTAGAATATGATATTTTCCAACAACACAAAGCATTCACCCAGAGGTGCTTGTTGATTTGCAGATATCAGAGGTGTTGGTGTGCAGGAAAGTCTGCTGGAAATATAAGCCTCACAAAAGCTTAGGGCTCCAAATACCTCCTCAGAAGGCAGTTGCAGCCCAAATAACTTAATAGGCCCTGAAGGACCAAAAAACAGCCTATGGAAATCTGAGTGGAAACGTCAAGTATCTAGAATCCGAGTGACCTCTAATTTTGGACCACCAACCGGCCCCCAAATATGGCCTTGGCCTCATATCACAACAGGGGTCATGTGCTGGGTTCTAGGTCTGATCACCCTTAAAACCCTTTTTGAAGTGTTCCCTCCCCCTGCAACTCCCAGCCGTCCTGGCTCGGCCAGGCCGGCTTCTACGGCGAGGTCTGCGAGCGTCAGCACTGCCCGGGCTTTGCGGAGTCGGGCCAGGCATGGAGCGACGTCCTGGGGGATTTAACGCGCGCGCAGGAAAGGTGAAAAGAAGAAAACGTAATGAAAGCCACATCTATATACATATATATATATATACGTAAAACGAGTCAGACGGAAGCTGGAACCTCAACCCCCTAGGAGTTGTTTTGGCAGACTGCAGACCATTTCAGTCCAACTTGACACCCCCAGCCTCTCGTTTGGCCCAGCCTCTTTTCGGCCAAGCCTCGCTTCATCAAAAAAATCCTGAACGAATCCACCCGGTGTCCACCCGGAGTCCACCTCCAGGAGTGCCACGGCAACGGCTTGTGCGATGCGGGGAAGTGCCTGTGCTCGCCGGGCTTCGGTGGAGAAGTGCCAGGCACCGGGCCTCGGTGGGGGTCCAAAGGTCGATGGGGTCCAATGAAGAACCCGAATGGTTTGGACACAGTTCCCTGTGAGGTCGACCTAGAAAAGCAGAGGATCAGTGGATCCGAGGATCCATACATGTGGCGAGGATGAGAAAAGCACCCCAAAAAAATGACCAAATGCACATGCATTTCATAGAGCCCTGAGGAACCACGGAAAAAAGCCGCATTTCTGCCCCCCCCAATTTATGACGACACGGAGTCTGCAGACGAGCGACCTGAACATGGATCGCTGGATTCAGGCCGAGGAGTCCAGTGTGATGCGCACGAAGTGATGTTCCAAACCCCAAAGCGGGTGCCCGAACCCCCAAAGCCAGGTTCATTCGCTGGTGAATGAAACATCCCAGCTCCTTTCGCTTGAAGCAGATCATTGCCACGGTGTTTTGCCGCAAGGAATGGTGAAACATGCCATCATTTATATACTCATTTATAGTTCATCCGCGATTAGGGAATAGACATCGGCCACATCGGGCCACAAGTTCTTCTGTTCCTCTGATGTCTTGCGGAGTGCGTGCTTGGGCAGACCCTCAATCGAAGCCCAGGCAGCCTGGGGCTCATGTGTCTTGACAGAGACGCGGAGGGAGAGAGATCGACAATGACGAACACCCCGTGAGAAGAAGAAAGCGACCATGAAAGAGACACGGTGGGAGAGGATCCCGTGTGTCCACATCGCCCGGAGACTGTCCACATGGCGCTGCTTCGGGTTTCACCAGTTGGGAGGCAAAGAAATTACTCTCAATATGCATATGTATCAGATTTGGGAGCGCAACAAGGACCACTGGGAAGATTAAACATGCACTTACTAAGAGCCCGTTGGGAGGTCTCCCTATTTCAACACAAGCCCATATGGCTCCTCAAGTAGTCTGTTCTGTTCAATTGCCCTGGTCAACCCGGGTCTCCCAGTTTTGACCCACTGCCATATCACGTTCGAGTTGGACTAGTGACCAGAACCTCCTGACCGGGAAGTCATCCGGAAATCTTCCGGGCTTACCATGAAACACTGAGTGACCAACTTACCAATCTAGTCAATCTATTCCTGTCAAGTGCTGCATCAACTTCGATGACGTTCACATTATTGTGCCCTTATTTTGGTTCAGATGCATTTGTGGACAAAGAAACGGCCACTTCCTCTCTATTGGTGTATTTTTGCTTGTTTGATTGGATTGATTGGTCGTGGGTCTTTTTTGTTGTGGGATGCCGGGCAAATGTCTGGACAGCTGCTTCGAAGCAGCTTTTTGGACTGGTGCTTCACTGAAGTGATGGCCACCAGAAGCAGCCACCCAAATCGTCCCGTTCTGGCCGGTCTGGACGGTCGGATCCCTCATCCTCGACTCCCCGACTCCTCGACTCCTTCCGACCGACTCCTTGACCTCTTTAGGAGTTGTCACCTGCGGATTTGCCCCTTGGGCTGCGGCAAGGGCCATTGTGCTGAGGGGCGCTGCGTGTGCCCCAGCGGTTGGCAGGGCGAGACCTGCCAGGAGATCGGCGCTTTCGGTTGGGCGGTTTGAGGTCGTTCGATGTGGCTGAGAGGGTCAAGTCTTGGGCGACCCAGGTGCACTCTTGGGAGACCCAATTGCTTAAGATAGAACCTGAAATCCTGGATGTTTGTGTCATACATTCCACCCTGGAGTTTCTTTCTTTGCCTCTCTGGAATAGAATAGACGAGTCATCCATAACCCGAAAAGAAATAAAAGCGACACGAAATGGCACGTGCGCCCAAAACCATGCCGCGTCGGGCAACGAGCAGATCTTTGGGCCACGAAGATGACGGGTCCAGGATCCCCACTGCCCTGGGGGCTGTGGCCATGGCCTCTGCGGCGCAGCGACCCCGGAACTGCCAGGCAGGGCGGAGCTGGGCGGAGCAGGGCGGAGCACGTGACATGGGGCCGTATAGCTCAGTCCTAGGGAGACCGAACCACCGGCGTTCCGACCGAACCGCCGGCGTTCGGTTCGGACCATTTCGAGCAGTTCTACCCAGACGATCGGGGTGAGATTGCGGGTGTCTCCCGGATTGAAGATACCGTGCCTCTAAGAACACCATCGTTTTGGACTCAACTTCGAACGCCAAAACCAAGTTCTGAACGGCGCCGAAGAAAGACCCTCCCATTGCGTTGGCAGAAGCGGGTTGTGACTTTTGCGCGAAGACACGAAGACTCGAAGACACGCGAAGACACGAAGACACGCGAAGACACGAAGACACGC